GAGCAGTGTAATGCTTTGTTTATGTGACTACCTGACGTTTGGCAGTCACTTTAGAACTTGTCTAGGCCCAGTATACGTGGGCTGGCCTTCGGGCCGCGCTCAGGCCCCCATTTCTCCTATTGTTTTTGGAATACATGTATTCAACCTCACTTATGCCTTCTACTACCCCATTTGGAGCCTCGGGACGCTACACCTACATCCTTCACAAGGAAAGGATTTAACCTGACGTCTGCATTTAGTTTCGCCTCATTCCAGCGTTTCACAGACAAGCTATTCACAAATGAAGCGATACCGCCGTGAGCCATGTGGAAAAGAATCGTGTCGGATTTCACTATACAAAATCCGTATTTATATGTCGGAAATGACGCTGCGATTCTCCTCATTCCATTTTCCTTATAACATACATCTTTTAGACGGGAGTTGCACCGTCTATTTCTGGAAGCAGTTGGTGGTCAACAGATGCAGGCGGCCCTGAATCAGGTTGTCAGATCGAAAGTAACTCCAAATCTGGTTGAAGCTGCCGAGAAGACCAAGTACCGTTACCCAGTCTCGTGTTGTCTGTCGACTGGTGCTGTTGGCTCGCGGGTGCTTTCTTGTAATAACGAATATGTTGCGATGGCTGGCGCAAGAGGTGCATCAAAAGGAACCGCCAAGGACGTCGCAATTTAATCCTTTGTTTATGTGACTATCTGGCGTTTGGTGGTCACTTTAGGATTAGTCTAATCCTTGTACACGTGGGCTGGCTTCCGGACCATGCTCAGATCCATTTGTTCTGTTCTGTTCGGAATGCATGTACTCGGCTTCACTTACTGCCTTCAGAACGCTACAAATGCAGTAAGGAGACTTTCGCTACAAAACTTTTCCACGTGTATCGCGGTGGTGTCACTTTAATTGCCAATAGCTTCGCTGTGGAACATAGGGACAAGGTGTAGCCAAGGTCAGACAGCATTCTCAATTCTTCTGTTGTGATGAACATTCGACATTCCTCTTGCCCGCAGATATGTCCCAAAGGGTAGATATTTGGATAACAGTCGTTAAAAGTCGGTTTCGCTTTTTGCCGCCACCAACATATTTCGATAATATTTCCCACTATTTGGAAGAAAGCGTTAAGTTGGACCAAAAGTTACCTACTCGAAAGGAATAAGAAGGGATAGAGCCACGGTTTGGCCCAAAAGTCACTTCTCGCAAAAAAAATTTAGGCTAATCCATTGTAACCGCCAGAAGGACAGGAGATCAACAACAAAGCATTGCGGTGAAAGTGTACTATTTCAAAGGACTTTGTAATCGATAATATGATTCCTCCTCGTCAACAGGCAACAACACGTTCGTTGAGCGTGTGGACGTCTCACTGAGACAACAACAGTAATATTCTTACTGCCTGCCTATTCCCATCTAGGCATGTAACTTTTTGAAATACTAAATAAAGTCGCATGGAGAATACCTCGCGTAAGGAACCAAGACGTAGGGTCCCGATCCAAACTGGAAAGTATCGATAAGACTGCAAACGCTAACAAGAGCAAGATAAACGCCGAAGTGCTCCAATCATATGGTTATTGAAACAAGAGAGGCATTAAAATTACCAATAATTTATTTCCTTAAGGGAGTGATACGCTATTGCAATATACAAACCCCACGCACTTTAAAAGAAGGATAAATTCTTAATAGAGTTACGTATATTCAGGAAAATAGAGGCCATGCCGAAGCCCTTGTCTGCTTCAAAGATCGATCCTCACGCTTTTACTATATTTTAGATACATAGCAGTAAGCCTTGAGCTACTATAATAAGTGCGAAATTTTAAATTAACAAATTTCATCCTTAAGCTTGGGTTATTGTAATCTTCAAAAGCACAATTTGAATAACATGTATTGTTTTTAAATATTACTGATTCCTAAATTTTTGATTATTTTCAATGCAAAGATAATAGTTTCGAAAATTCTTTATCGCCAGCTTGTTTTGTTTTTCTACCCACCCATCCGATGGCCGCATCGCACTTAAACGTTGTGGAGCTTGTCGGCGTCATTGTTCTTGGAGTCGTGCTTTTGATATGGACGTTAGTCTTGATGAAATAATTTCCATGAATCGGGCTTTAAGGCGTGGGCGAGGCTCGAAATCTCAAAACGAGCTTCGGAGAACCAGTGGTGGTCGTGTTCAGAAGCGGAGAATCAATGATTTTCCTGTAGGTTTCCTTCCGCACCTTTTACGTTAAAACATAGAGACGAAGCCTTCCTGATAAGTGGCAGCACGATCTTTTCCTTGGTAACGGGAGCGGGGTGCCAAAGGGAAACGCAAAAATTCTCATTTCGAACCTTGATTATGGGGTAAACGATGACGACATTCAGGTGCGGGTCTTAGTCCTTCTTAAAAGTATCTCAATAGGAACTTTTCCAAGAATTTGGCATTCTTCGACGTGCAGCCGTTCATTACGATCGTAGTGGTCGATCGCTTGGTACCGCGGAAGTTATTTATGCTAACCGTGCTGATGCGGCAAAAGCGATTGAACGCTACAACGGTTTGCCCCTGGATGGTCGTCCTATGAATATCCAATTCGTTGGAGCTGCAGGTTAGTCCGTCGTGAAGAAATGAATCGCGACGCGTTGATTTTGCTTACACTGTGGATGGAGCTCGTTTGCACGGCTTTGTCGTCATCTTGCGAGCTGCCCGTAAGAAACTCAGAGCCTCCAATGGATGCGGTCCCCCTCCTCAGAGGTTTGATTGCATAATCCACTTTTTGCATAATTTATGTGTTAGACGTCAGTCTGCTTTATGAGTTCATTCTGATAGAGCCTTTGCTGGCCTGTGTTGATTGTTTTGGCTTGCTGTTATTGAATTCGCTCTTTCCCTACTATCTATTTGTTATTTGTAAAAATGTTTTCTAGGATTTCTGTTCACCTGACTTGTTCACGTGTCTGGCACCGTCCTTGGCCGAAGTGCTACTCATTCACTTTTGCCTTTTTTAATATTCATTTTAAGAGTTGGTAACTGCTAAATGTTCTCGCTCTAATAAATTTGGTTTCGTCCTAAATACGATCTTAAACCACGGGCTTCCGTGTGGATGAAGTGAGTGGCTGTTGGCTTTATAAGTATTCCATTCTTTTTGTGTCCGTCAAGGCACTGCTGGATGTTTGTAGTTGGGTGTCAGTCGACTATTTTTCAGCCGATTTTCGGGTCCAGTTATCTGGTCACTTTGAGAATTTGTCCTCGTTCTGATGCCCGTTCAGGCATCACATATGATCGGAATTTCGCTTACTTCATGAGATCTATCAGGCTGTAATCGTGTAACATTTTGGTAGCCGTACCTCATTTGGCTTCATGTAGCCGTGTGAAATCTCAAATTTTTTGAGCTTTATAACCTGGTGATCACTGCCAATTTAACATTTACGTTGCACAAGTTCGTTACACTTTGAATGTGATCGTTGTTTTGTTTTTTCCCATTAAAATAGCTCAATAGATTTGGTTTCGTGCAATTAGTCTTTACTAAATTGAACATAGGCTCTCCCGTATTCGTTGTTGCCTTTCATACTTTGGAAGCTCGTTCGCATGCTTATTTTACTTGGTTTCAGTGTATCGTAACCTTTCATAATTGAGTTTGATCAGGCTAATAAGTGGTGCAAATATAGACGGTGTGACGTCAACAGAGGTTCCAGTTTTGGGACTTATCTTGTAGATTAAGATAGCTTATGACGGCGCTGAACGTCCCGGTGATATGGTTATACATTGCACTGTAAACGGTTTGAAACTATAACTGGCAGCGATGCCTTCATATTTTGATCTTTATTTAGTATTCGCGATATACCATTTAATTACACCTAATCGTTGTTATTGGAAGGGTGCTCATCAGCTTAACGCTGTGCCAGTTTCATTTTCATGAGATATTGATTTCTCACACTGTCTCTTTGTGCCTGCTCATTCCAAAGGAGACTATCTTTGCTTTTACTGCTATGAGAGAGCCTTTGAATAATTTCTGATTCTGTGGAAATTGTAATTACAAATACCTCACCTTTTTCCCTTAGTGTCGGTGCCATTGTTATGTGTTTGCTGCCATTTGCTCCTCTTGAGTATGCTGCTCTCATTTTAAACTCAACAACAACAAATAAAAATAAAAATAAATTTTAGTGGTCGTTATTTTCATGTTAACTGAGTGATGCACTAGGTACTGCATTGGAACGTTTCGTACGCTTTTGATGATAATGAGGCTTGTGGTTCGAGGTTTATAATGCGCGGTTTATAGGCTTGTTTGATGCGGCTTGGAGATTGCTTTAGTCTTCCATGTGTTCAATCATTGTTGCCAGGCCCTCAATATCTGTACGCTCTCGGGGGCTGAATGAATCAAAGAATCTGTAAGCGCATCTGCAAAAGCAATTTTTTTGTGCTTCTATTCGTTGTTTGTTAAGGAAGTTGCAGCTGTCTTCATGACTCGGTAATGATATTTAGGCCTTTTTGTAGTAGGAAGGAACTGTTAGAAATTTTACTTGTCGGATTAGGATAAGTCGCCCTCACGATACACAACGTCGATTTGACCGCGGCAGAACTCGGATTGAGAGCTATTAATGGCGACATTACATTGTTCCAAAAAATAAGTCTAATGCAGTTGATAATTGCGGGGAATTTTGTACTCGTCTTTATGGATAACTGTTCTGTTGGAATATATTTGAAACCAACCCTGCTTTAACGGTGAGTACTGATGTGAGACTCCGCTTTTTGTGTTTGTCTCGCATCTCATTGGCACATCCACCGCGGACTCGATTTACTGTTAGAGTAGTGGTTATCGTCGGTTTGATTTGTGGATAGAAATGTGAATTGAGTATAAATCAGACTTCTGAATACCAAGTTCCGAACTGTTCAAGCCCTTTTCTGCATGACCAGACGGACTAGCAGCAGCTCGTAGTCGTCTTGGCAACGTGCCTCGCGGACGTCAACAACGCGGTCGTGGTGGCGGGAGGGGCGGCCGTCGGGGCAACCGCAGCACTCGACCTCCGGTGACGAAGGACCAGCTGGACGCAGAACTTGCAGCGTACACTGCTCAGGTAGATTAGTGTTATGCGCCGTATTCAATGTTGTCATGTTCTTTGCCTTTAATACTGTATTTTTCACCGCTCTGTTAACGTAGGCAACCACGATATCAGCACCTGGTGAACCGTGAGGTAACATGAGTGGCGCTTAGCTAGCTTCGCACTTGTGCCAAACTCATTTTACTGCACTGTAATTGTAAATTTCACCCTTCACGTGTTTTGTGGTACATTCGTCTCTTTTTGTAGAAGGCATGATGGGAGAAGTCGGGCTTGTCGTCTCCGTTACCTCTCCCTATCAAGAGGCGGTTAAGTGGTGTGACTAAATTTTACGCACCATCTTGCTCCCCAATTTTGTGTCCACTTGTAAACTTTTTTATCAGTAGTGCGCATTTGTTTTGTATAAATAAAGTTTTATTCGTGTATGTGTTATGATACTCTGGCGTCCGAAGTGGATGTTGGGGTGCTCGCACGTAACTACTCCAGCGCTTAAAGTAGGTTTTTCTCATTAAGCATTGTTGTTGAGGTAAAGATTTGAATTGGGTGGATATGCTTTTGCATCCTCCGTCTGAAGGTTTACTCCTCATTGCTTTCATAGACTCATTTCCATGCAGAGGAAGTAGATTGGTCCTCTTGCTCACGGACCGACTATCGGCATCGAGGCGTTGTTTTCGATGTGGGAATTTTTTAATATTTGGTGCTTAATAGCCTCTTTCGTTCCTTTAGCAGGGTTCTACTTGCAGTTTGTCAGTAGGCGTTTAGCAGAGGTGTCCTTTGACCGGATACAAGTTGTGGCCTCCGGTGTTGATTTTCTTCTCTCAAAAGCAAGTTTCTAAAGTGCTCAGAGGTTGCAACTCAAGGTCGACAGCTTAGATATGTCTAATTGTGCGTATAGTCGTAGGATGTTTCAGATGGCTTCCAAGTGTAAGTCCATTGAAAGCAACGACATCAGATCAGTAGTAGGGAGGTGGCAGGTGCTTCTGAATGCTTTGGAAAGGTATTTCACGAGTGGTGGAAGGAAGGTGGCAAAGGTCATTGTCATAGCGTCCATGGAGCGATGCGTTCTTATTGATAAACCTCTTTTGAACATCCAAACTGAAGGGTTGATGAGTCGGGATTAAGGAAGTTTGCGTGGCGTTTGGGAGTCACTCTCATCATAGAATTTTGCTAACACGAACACAAATGGGAGGAAGGTATAGTGACGGGTTGTCGCCTGTTTTCGTTCCCATTTGGTAGTTTAGGGCGTGCGACGTCTGTCTCTTGGGAAATATTTGCATCAACAAAGGCTACCTCTTTTCGTACAAGGACGCAGAAGAGATGCACCGGACTTACCATGGTAAGAAGCGGAAAATGCAATTCTCTTGGCCTAAGTCATCAATCAGCAAGTCACATCTCCTTATGGACACCCGGAGTGGAGTGCGTGGCGGAAGTGGTCTCGTTTTCTTTGCGCGTAGCAGGGTGTGTTTTGAAGTCGATCAACAGACAAATAAATAGTTCCACTAATGTCTTGACATCGTGTTTTGTCAAGCGTGTCTGGTAACTGGAACAGAACAATGAATTGTGACCTTGCATTCCCGTCCGTTCAAGGTGATCGTTTGTTCGGAACCATTGCAAGTGAGTTTAAATGTGCAGATTACTGATGCAAGAGCGGAGTCCAAAGTCTCCTTCACCTTCTGACTTTACATTTACTGAGACATTTAACTAACCATCAATTCTGCCAATCATTGAGAGGAATCTCTCACCTCCTTCACGAGTCGCAGAGGGCGAGGCTTTCCGAAGGCAGCAGCGTTCTTGTGTCATCTTTCATCGCACACAAATGCTAAAATTGTCCGCCTCGAGTGTGATCATGGTGGCATCAGAAGTCACTTTACATGGTTCTAGTAAACACAAGAGCATTTGAAATTCGCCTTCCTTTAGATCCTGCTCAACAATTAGTACTGCAAAAAATTAATAAAGAAAACGGAAGTATATTTGTCTGTGCTAGTGAAATGGCGATGTCTTCAAGATTGTAGGCAAGGAGACCTTGGAGTCTGAGAACTAGTCGATCATCTTTAATGTGAACAAGACTGGCACGACTAGGCGCAAAGCAAAGCATGAAGAGGTTGTGCTAAAAGTTGCAAGAGAGTTCAGTCGATTTGACAGTTTGCTTCGTTTAATGGACTTGTGCCTGACCTCGTTAAAGTCTCTTCACCACCTAAAGACAGTAAAAGATGTGAAATAAACAAAGCCGAGCTTCTTTGTCTCGAATTGGTTAATGGTGCAAAAACGGGTTGAAGACCAATCAGCGTCGAGAATCGCAGTGTTTTCAAGGTCGTCGCAGCGAGAGACGTGGCCTTGACAGCAATGCCATTGGTGGAGAAGGGCAGGGCGGAGTAGACCAGTGCGAGGTGTTTAGGTGAAAACATCACTTCTCCTCTGCCTAGGAATCATGAAATAGGCGCCCAGTACTTTGAAATTTAAACATTTTTTCCTATGGATCATACAATACTTTCGAGGAAGACAAAGACAACATAAATTAGTAGGAATCAAATCCAAATTTCGGTCCACCACCAATATACCTTCACTGGTAAGTCTCTGAGGGAAGTTCTACTATTACCTTGATCTTATCACACGATGAATTAATATTTGAACTGTGTAAAAACAGAATGAAAATGACTTGATCAACGGTTTCCCCTATTTGCCACAGAAGGGCAGCTTAGAACCACAAACACTGAAGTCTGTGCTTTATGTGGCTAAAAATGTCGATGGTAAAACACGAAGTTCAGGCATCTCATCTGTTTCATTACAGCTCACGACTATGTGCTGGCGCTCATTCGCAAGCCTCAATCGTTGGCCTCCTTATTTTGTATCGTTTATTTTTGAATCGAGCTGAATTTTTTTCGTTGCTTCAAAGCTTTAGTGCTTAAGAATCGTGGACAGGTTTTTTTACTTACGCACTGTTGATTATGAGAACAGTGGCGACCAATTATCGAATTGATGCAATTTTTGTATGTGTTTTAAGAGCGTTCTTTTACGCACATTTTTAACAGCGGGAGGGCATTATTTTTCCCAACCCCAGCAAATGTGCGTGCCTTTCTCGGTCAGTGTGTGATGGTCGAATCTGCAGCTCTTTTGGTATGTTTGGTTGGGTATAATCTTGCTTACCTTCGCTCCTTTCCACATCGCTTTATCATGACTCGCCTCTGCAATCGACGACTTGTGACTTGAGTGAATCCGTTTACGTGTTCTGGTTCGGCCGTTAGGTGGACATATGAAGAGGTCTGTAAGACCTTCATTCTGTTGTAGTATTTCTCACTTCTATTCTTTACTGCCAAATAATTGCTCATCGTTTGGGCCACTTCAATGCTTTTTCTAAATTTGGTCTTTTCTTGATTGAATTCAGTCAGCCCAATGGGAACATACGGAACCAGTGTTTGCTAACTGGTGTGCCAGTGGTAGTTCACCATCTGGTAAAGTAGTGAAATGATTCATCTTTTGCTACAAATCTGTTTAAACCACAGGCTGATTTTCTCTCCGAGACATAAATTTAAATGCAGAGCACATCACTGCCTCATAACTCCACTGGTTTACTGCACTGTTTCAGGCGAGGCCCTCTGTGTGCCCTAATCAATGATACCAAGGCAACAGGTAGACAGGGTTCAATCACAACCAAATTTGGCATCTATCAAGTGTTATGCCTATGTTGTCTTGTTGTGCCAAGGGTGATGATTGTAAGTATGGCGTAGCATGACACCCTGTCTTTGCAGAAAGTGACAAGCCTATTATTCTGTAGGGTCTGTGAGGTCTGATCTCCCTCGCAGCGGGTGCCACAATATGTTTGTTAGCAGCGGCACGACATCAACACCCCACCAGCAAGTCAATGCCTTTGTGACAAAATTTAAAAAAAAATGAAAGGGTAGGGACACTATTTAGGGAGCAAGGATCAAAGTTTTTGCGAATATTTAACGTTGACTTTCAGTTTCTAGATTTGGAGGAAAACGGCAATGCCTCTTCGATTTACTCATGGCAAAATCAATTCGCAGTGGCCTCGCCCTTAATTAACTGTCATCTATGTGGTTCTACGTGACTATTTTTAACCAACTTAGGCTTTACATTGAGTTGATTGAGTAACATCACTGAGGGACGAATTATTCACTGCCTTCGCCCCTCTTTCAATACCATGCTTTACCTAATCCTTCATGAAATCATCAAACAGCTCACTGTTCTAATAATGTGTAAATGCTCCAAACTTGTAAGAGTCACTAGTCAAACAATTGTAATGTTGGCCTCTAAGTTGATCCTGCGCATGCTCCCATTCCAAGAGTCCTCAATTTCGCCAAAACTCGTTCGTTCCTGATTGGTCAGTGGAAGCATCACCTTTCCGGCTGCAACCAATCACACTACAGCCTGAACTATTTGCGCCTACGACCTCCCCATTTCGCGTCACGTGTCTACCTTTTTACTGGTTTGGCGACATGGCGATCTTACGGTTACAAAGTGAATAGCTCTACAATCAAAGCAAATTTCAACAGCTAACCATTGTGTGAAATTCCTTCCTCCCAAACCGCCGCCTAGGATTTTGTGGTCCATGATGTAGATACAATGACAAAAAAGTAAAAGCACTTACAAAAAAGTATCAGATAATTCTAGTACGATTAACTGTTTGATTATAAAGTGCACCCAATTTTTCCTATTGCACTAACTACGCTACAGTTGCCTTGAGTGAACCAATGGAAAACGGCAAATCAGGACGCTTGCAGAAGACGCGTTACTCGGACACCGCCGTGCCCTTTAAGTCCTTCATCGACCCTTCGGAATTCCCCATGGCTGACGGTTGGGAAAATACTGACTTAAGTCTCCTTCAAACTCAGCTAGTGTCCTCGCTCCAGCCTAACAATCTTCAAATTGGGTGAGTCCGAGATTAGCTTTTGCATTATTAAACTTATCCTCATTTTGAATGCGCCTTTTTTGGGTAGAAACTCCGGCCTTACTTCAACGTCCAAGGCACATCGACAGACGAGTCTCGGTGGAATTACGGACTCTAGTTTAAGCAGTGGATTTGCAAGTGACCTCTCAAGTGCCGCCACCTCGACACGCTTTCCCAGTTTCTCCCTCGCCAGTATGGAGGCTCTGGAGACCACCGAGGCGACATGGCTGAACCCGTTAAACAAAAATGTATCCTCTACTGGCATGGCGGAACCGCTGAAACGAAATAAGAAGACAGATGGCAATGGCGGACAGAAGAGAAATAAACGCAAGTTTTTCAATCTATTTTTGTTCTCTCCCCTCCCTTTTACAACTCAGCATACAAAAACTAACTCACATTTTATGTGGATTTGAATATGTGCAATTCCAAGTAGGGTTGCTTTTGATAAACAAGTTCGGGAAAGTGGTTTAAGTTTCGCGTATACTAGCAGTTAAAGCAAAACTGTTTTAAAAGTCAATTGCTTACCAAAGTGTCAGTGGAGTGAGCTGACCAAAACACGAATTAGGGTGTGACTTTGAAACCATTTCTAGTGTTCAAGCCGTTTTCTGAATATGTAGAGGGATTGGTCTCCCCCCCCTCCCCTTTGTATCAGTAAACTCGATTGAATAGGGTGGTGTTAAATCCAATGATTGGAAGAATGTGTGAGGCTTCAGGGAACTCGGCTGTCCTACGAAGTGGGCAGATAAACTTAGTCCAAATGCGACACAGGAAGGGGTACTGCTCAAGCACCCATCCTGAGGCACGAGTGGTCGTTTAGTCAGGTGAAAATTAGCCATCATCCATTGAACTAAATGCAGCAATAAATTCGAGGATATTCTTCTCGTTACCGACAAGTGAGCCAGTCTTTGGTTAATTTGTGCTATCAGCAGACATGAACGAAGTGCCAAAACTGGATGGCATTTGCGAAAAGACAGGAGGATGAGAAATGGACCTACTGGGACAGTCAGTAAGGTATTCATTGTTTAGGAAAAGAGGGTTGATGCAGCACTTGGGCCGACTCCAAAAGCCTCTTTTGCACTGCTAGGTGGTCATGAAAGTGAAAGAAAAAGACCCCAAAAAAATGTCAATGACGGTGAGAATAGCGTTGAAATAAGTTAGTGGCAAATCTTATTTATCACAAGAGTAATCAATTGTGTGTTTTGAGTGACCTTGACCTTACAGTGATTGGTGAGAAGAGTAGAAATTGCTCCTAAGTTAGTGTTGGGCCTAGAGGAGACTCAAGGAAGAAGCAAGTGAGGAACTGCTTCAGAGTGCCTGGGACGTCAACGTAGGATCAGAGCTTTTGAAGGCTCCCAAAATAGAAGTGTTCTTTTTTATGGTTGTGCTTTGCTGCTCTGGGAGGTGCATTCTGGCCTGCTTCATCGCTCTTATGCAATAATTCAAACCCAGGGGTGAAAGTTGTGCATCCTTCACCACCTCTAGGTACCACCCGACATCTCCTCTCGTAATTGTTTTGTGCTTGTATGTTCTTTTTTTCGCCTTGGCACCAAACGATTCATCCATCGGCGAAAATCGCACTTTCTGGAAAATGTTTGTTTTGGTAATTTTGCCACTTTTTCAAGGAAGTGAAGCAGGTGTTCCACTGTCTTCTTAATAAAACCTATCAAAAGTGAGTGAAAGTGAGAGAAAGGAAAACGGGATGACCATGGACGTGGCCAGGACAGCATTCCAGAGGCCACTTTGCCCTCAAAAGTTGCTTCTCTTCACAAACCCATGATCGCTCTTGTCAATCGGGAGGCTCAAGAGGGGAGGTGCGGCTTTAGTTCACTTAATTACGAAATCTCATTTTTAACTTTTATCTGAAACAACGACTGGTGTTGGAATAAAATCCTAAGCATCGTAGGGCATTGTTTTTCGGGTAAAGGAGTGAGGCGAGTGACATCCAGTTTCACGCGTTCGCCTTGTCCATGCTTTTGCATTTCCTTCGGAAAAAAGAGAGGATTTTTTTCGATTTTATGAGCCACTCCTGAAGTCGCTCTCCGAGAGGTTCACCACTGAGCGCAACGGTTGAATTGCTTGCACAGCAAAACAGCGGATCCAATCAGTTTGCGTACTAAACTTTTTTCTTTACAAAATTCATGCCTGAAAAAGTGTTGCCTTAACAGGATCCCAGCCAAGGAGGTCAGTAAAGTCTAGTAGTATGCGAAATTTACAAAGTCTGAAAAATCCTCCTTAAGTGTAAAGTATTTTGAGTTCTAAATCAGAAGGACATCCACGCTTTGTTAGAGCGACAGTCAGCACCGTTTTGCTTTACTTCTCTTTCCCATCTGTGTGTGTGTCATTTTCTAACATTGCCACGAAAAGTTGATTAATGCGTGGAATAAGATTGGCAAGAGAATATGGCAAACGAGGTGTTGCCTTCTCTTTCCTCTCTCTTCGCAAGAACTTGCGCGAATAGCTAAATTTCTCATTCTGAGGCCATGCGACCTTCCGTAGACGACATCGCGGTCGTGAAGTGAGTGAAGCGCTAGAAAAATGAGGTGACTAGTTGGCGACGCACTTGGAGGTGGCAAGTGACGACAGACCGAAGCTTAGAGAGCGCTTCTCCTCGCTTTTTGTTTATCTGATTGGTAGACAACCAAAAATTGTTCTCTCTAATGCCCTTCTTTGGAGAGACAACTTCCAACAAATTGGATGGCCTTGGAGTTCACCATCACCCTTGACTGCGCAGTACGCAGCCTGCATGGCATCAACAGTCACCTTCCGCATTGGTATCAAGACTTACTTTCAACCGCCAGTGATTCCGCTCCTGTTCTAAATTTGTATGTCTCCATTCTACTCAGTGTGTTCTTCTCCTTCACATCCTGCAAATCCCTAATCGGTGCGGAAAATGTGGAGGTCCTCCAAACTCCAAACGAAGTGCCAATTGCAGGGCACACTTGTCAAGATTACGCGAGTCTTTACGACATGCGACTTCAAAAGGCATCCGAGGGGAGAGCAAAACACCAGAGAATCGTGTCACCATTTTTTTAATCAAAGAGACTTTAAAAACGGAGGATTCGGTTTTTATTTTAACACCTCGTGGATTTGGTATGTGGCGGATTTGAATGCCTTCTACAAGAAGAACGCCTAATTGAGGTCGTAAAAGTGAGGGTTTTACTCGACAGTACTTTGCTGTGTTTCAGAGATCCTAACTTCAAATTGCAATCCAAATTAATCGGATGCCTTTTCGACTGCAAGTCGGTTATCCTTTTTAGGACCACCTCGTATTAGAGATAAGAGTGTTGACTGATTCGAGGCGAGGAGGATGTTTCGAAAATTGCAAAGGAAACATAACGCTTTACAGTCGTTCGCTGCTGAGTTTGGCTGGAAACTTCTTATGGATCACCACGCCGTCAAAATTTATGTGCTCATGTTGTTAAAGGGATCAGACTTCTGCCTCCATGATAACTGACTCTTTAGTCAATAATTGTGCACTTATGGACACCATTTTAAGGGTCTTCATTTGGGGTGGATGGAATTCCTTGCGACTTGTGGGATTGGTGCCATCAATCGCATCAATGTAGTAATGAACGGGGTTGAAACATTTGCGACATTTTCGTTTGGAAGTTTGGACTTCGCTCACCACTGGCAGTAAGGTGACTCTCTGGTTGCCCTCCTACAGTGATAACGAGACACTAGTGCCCCTTTCGAAGACATAAAATAAATACAATCCAGTGTGAAAACGAGGCAGTGTTTTTTATGCTCTTGTTATTCACCATCCTTGGAGAAAAGTAGCAATCGGTGTTGCTGAAATGCCCACAAATGGTTGGATAAGTCATGCGACTTGCACCTCCAGGGGCCTTGACGAACAGCGTTTTCATTTATCGGTGGCACATAACTGGTAACAATGGAGGAGGTATTCTTGTAAACTGGGGGTTGCATTTTCTGGAACAAATGCCATGATCATGAAATCTGGAATGTGATGGTTAAAAAAATTGGGGTGAAATGTCACTTTCACCCAACAAAGGAGCTTGAGGTTGCATAAATGTCTAAATTGTTAATAGTTTCATTTTTTACATAAAATCCGCAGGTCTCACAGACGCTCGTCAGCGATCCGGATCCATGGCAGCTGGGACGGCTTCCGGGGGACTTCAAAGTGATCAAGAGGCTCAACGCAGCATGTCCTTCTCTGTTCCGATGCTTACCAGCGGGACCCGTCAATTCAACGTCAAGGGCAATATCTTTCGCCAGCGGAAAGACTTTTCCGTATTCCAGGTTGGTCTTTGCAAGTTAAACGGATGGTTGCCATCAAGGGATTGATGAAATGTCTCACTTCTTGCTCCATCTAGAGGCTGCAAGCGTGGAAACGGAACGGCTACTTCATCCAACTTGAGGACGACAGCTGTACGGGTAATGAGGACACACGAGCCTTTGTGCTGTGCCAATTGACAGGTCATGGAGCTGCGGAGGTGCACTGCCTGGCCTGTTGTCGCCCTCTCACTGTCTACGACCACTTCCCACTTCTTGACGGTGCCCTCTTCCTCTCTCCGCTCTGTCATCGTGGCGGTCTTCAGGTGGGTTATAGAAATATGACTTTGTTCCACTCCTTCCTCGGTAATTATTCACACTTTCTGATAAAATGAGTGGCCAAGCACAGGAGGCGACATCACATCCAACATGAAAACGACTTTTTGCTACTCTTTTCATTACCAGATCGAGTGTGATTTGTTGCTTGCAGGTCCTTTCATAAGGACAAATCAGATGTCCATCACTATGATTGCACTCCAGGCTGATTCAGGAGGTCTACGGGGTAATAAGTTCCGAGCCACATTGATGCTTTCCAGTAAAGATGGTTTAGATGACATTGTGACTCGCACAGTCGGTTTATTTAGATTTATGATAACCTTTTTGTTCCATGTTTTCCGAGGTGTCAATCCCATTCCTGGTCAATGCGCCTGATGATACACAGTTGAGTTAAGAGAGGCATGCTAGGAACTCGTCATTTCAAAAAAACCCTTCAATTGAACATCAGTAGCCTACTTTTCTCCGACATAAGTGACTTCACAAGCCCATCACTTAAGCTGTTCGTCACAGCTTAGTCAGTGGACGAATCAGCTTTAAATGGCCACTTCGTTCTCATCGAAAGGGAAGTTGGCGGCTTTTAGTAAGGCAGCTCACTTGTCGCAACTTGCTCAGCTCTCTTTCATTCGTCTACTCTGGTCAAGGCCCAAGAAGTGGCTTAATAAGTCGGTTAACTTTTTGTAGAGTTATCATCGTTTTAATGCATGTTTTTAAACTTTCAATCCGACATTAGGGCATGCGGAATCCCATTTTGTTTGACTCAAAACCCAGAGCCTTGGAGGGTGATAGGTTAGAAGCAGAAAGATGTGCCTTCAGTTAGTTTGCATGGTTTGTGATAGTTTCTGACCATGTAATTCATGCGACATTTCCGCAAAGGATTCAATTATTAACATTTACCATACCGTTTGCGAAACCTTTCACTGAAGGAGATCAAATGCGAAAATTTCTGGAAAATATCTTCGAAAACTTGCTTGAGTTGCTCACTCGACCCTTGCTTCCGCTTTTGACAATCTTGAGAACCCATCAGCGTGACAATGCGATCTAAATTCTCTGATCTTCAGGTCTCCTGGACCGTCCCACTAGCCTCCTCCGCTATTTCAAGTGGTGGTAGTGCTGGCTCTGGCAGCATCACCACCGCAACCACCACCACCACCACTACCATCACCCCTTCTGCAGGTCAAATAATGCGAAGCGACCTCGCCCCACCCCCTGGGTGCACAGGCCCGCGACAACAGCAGCAACTACATCTTCACAGTCATTACAATCAGTCAGGGCAGCAGCGCCATCGGGCCTCGATCAGTCAGAAGCGCTTCCTTCACGCTGTCTGTATGGCCTGCATGCGGAGCATTGATTCTGAGGACGGTGCTGATGCCAATGACGCTGCCGTTGGTGGAGGCGGCCGTGAAGGCTTGCCGCAGATCGTCTGCAAATTCTGCCACAATTCTTGGAGTGGTTAGTTTGATTAACTAAAGGCGAGAACAAACAAGTTTTTTTTCCGCCTGCGTTAGTTTCAAATAGAATCCAATGGCCATCTTTGTGACACACATTGTTAAGTCATTCTGGCCACCTTGATTGCCGACGCCCATCCTTATAATTGGTTGAAGGACAACCATAGCTAGGACTATGGAGTGGGGCATTTAAGAAGATTGCCTTGTCTGGATGGATTGTTGTTATGATTGTTTGTACTTAAGGTCGCCATAACTTAGAGGTGGAGCCATCAAACTTGGCCGAGCCAAGTGGCTGGCTGGACTGAAGGTGAAGCTTGGCCAGCATTTGAATCCACTGATCACTTCCGGTTTTGTCATTGTTTTCTAGTTTACTGTCATTGTTAAATGATGTCTGGAGGATAAGAGGGAAAAATGTACCTTCACTTCGATTTTGTCCTAGTGCGCTAATAGCGTCGCCTGCATGAGTGGATCACTTCCACTCAGAGAAGCATTGATTTAATAACGCCACTGAAGATCAGTTCATTTGGAGAAGATGCAATGGGTGAGGTAAAAGGTTCTACTACCACCAAAATAGAGAGCTAAGCAATCAAGCAAGATGTTACAAGATGCATTTCTATTAGTGGGATAAGCGGAGATGGTTAAGGTCACCGTTCCTTAATAAAATCTATCAAAACACATTCATTTGATCCGGGATTTCATTTCAATTTGCTTGATGGATCACGGAAATTTGATGGGTTAAATGCTACCCATACGATGTCTTGAGGTAACTTGCAAAGTCCTGCTTTTACCATCTCATCTTGACTTTGCACTTATTTGAAGGCCTTTTGTGAATCATTGCAAGTCACTTCACAAATAGGTTGTTGTAAATGCGGCAAGATATGTTATTGTCTTATGGCGATAGCAAGTTTTTACCCTCCGGTCCTATTTCGGTAGCAATCATTGGGGAAAGCCAAGATGGCCAACTTCTAGTTGAGACTCTGGTAACGAAGTAGTTATCATTAGCTTTGGGGTAAGTAGTAAGTCAAAATGCCCTATTCATACACGAAGGTGATGTGTTAGATACAATCCCAATTTAGCTGGTTCGTAGCTGCGTGAACGAAGGCTATCTGTTGTTCCGCCCTCCACTAAAAGCAAAAACTATTGGATTATCTCAAGACCATGGTTATTTCCGGATAATTCTGTAGTTTTGTTTCGATGATCATGTGGCAATTGACCTTAGCAATTCGACTCATCTATATAACTACCTTAGCAGCATCTACGAGTCTCCTCGTATGTCGGTCTCCGATTGGTTAAATTCAAGGTCGTTTACAATCACCACTTGAATATTATTGGATGATTCATATTGTAGTTTCAATTAACTTAGGCAATAAATACTACCAACTTGCTTCAAAATCCATTACCGTTGTTGTAGCCGACTTTATTAACGAATGATGGCGTAACAGATGGGACATGAAAATTAAACGTTGACCTGAGTCCGTCCGCAGATAATTTCTCTTTTATCTCACAAAATATATTACTATTTTGCGGTCAGAAACCTCATATTTTACTTGGAATTAACGCCTTTATATTCACTGTTTTTTTTTCAGGTTCCACTCTCTTGATTGGTGGGTTATATACGTATGACCTTTTTGCTTGCTCGCCCTGTTGTCCGGAGCACCTGCGCTGTAAGTCATGTGGTCTCCAACCTCTGGCACGACAGGAGAATGAAAAAGATGGAAAGGAAAGGAGTGAAGAGGAACCAAATCCACTTCAACCTCTGCCCTACTTTAGCCAATATAGTCAGCTTCTTTGCTGTCAGCACTGCCGGGCTGTCGACTACCACTTTATCAAACCCTTTGATGAAATGTATGACGTACGTGTTCCCTCCTAGGATAGTTCCGATCCCCAAAACAACTTCCTTTTTACTGTATTCTCTTCTCCTCCTCTCCCTCCTCGCCTTGTTTGACTCTAGGACACTTGTGGATGGCTGCGTGTAATTAGGGGAGAATTATGGGTCACTTACGAAAATGTACATGCTTGCTCGTTTATTTGTCGAAGATGTCACTTTCTACATTTTGAAAATGGTGAATTGATATTATGCTGTGTCTGAATAACTACCAAATCCGTTGTCTCCCATGGGGGCTCAGGGATTGCCCTCCAGGTGAGTAATGGCATTGGTTCTCGGATCATGAAAGAAAGGCGAGATTAAGTCCCAGCTTTCTTTTCGTTAAATCAAATAATCAACTCTGGTCCATTCAGAAGTCACGATTTGGTCTCGCACACCATTTGCCAGCCTTATTTGCGGTGTCTTTAACAAAGTACACCTTAGTTAGCAATGTTGAATAAATGCGATAAACTTCACCTTTTATTTGCCCTCTAAACGATTGTATGAATAGTTGTGACCCTCAACAATTTAAGGTAAGAAATGGAGCTGGAAATATGTCTTCAGCGTGACTCCAGTCGCATTGCAAAATTCCTAAGCACGATGGTAAGTAAAGTTATTCAACCATTTCAAATAGGTCGGTCTGACTGAACAGGTGGAACGTACTCACCTCTTAGATTTTGAACAATATTTTACCTCGGTGTCGTCAAAGGTCACAATCATGGCAAGAAAGTTTATAAGTCCTCAAAGGTAAGTGCCATCTAGTTAATCTTGTTGGATGCACATTAGTATGGTTTAAGAAAAGATGGATATATTTGAGCTTTGAAAATATTTCATGTCACTGTCAAATAGGGCTAGGAACTCATTATATCTTGGCCGCTTATAGTGATGCTGATGCTTCACCGTCTAGCCCAGTGTTACTATTGGCTGTCTTGAAGGAAAATAAATTAAACGCGCCTAAGTATTTGTGTTACATGCTCAACTTGAATTCTTGGTTCAATTTAGGCTGACTGAACACTACTTATGGTGTTCAAACGTACACAATAGTTGTATTCCGTGGTAGAGCGATCGGCCGACTATAGATCTGATATTTCGGCCCCTTTAATCCCTACTAGCCAATCAAATTCCTGAAGTTGGGGAATTTTAAAGCGCAGCGAATGAATGATCCTTTCAGTGACACACTTATGAAGAAAACAATCCGTATCAACAGTCGAGCCTAAAAAACCTTGCTAGGGGTGCACACATAACTTTCACCACTCCACAAGCTTGGCACCTCACTCTTGCGAAATTTAATTTCCTCAAGCAATTGCTGAATCAATTTTTGACAATAGGGGTGAGAAAGTGTCCTTTATCATTCTTACATTTTGGTCGAATCTGCATCACCATAAATTTTGCAGCTTTACCTATGCTTTTCGCTATAGTATTGGGGAACCGAATTGGCCTTCGTTCAACACATAAGCAAAATATCCGTTGAAGCTAATGGAGACCCATCACCCGATTTCCTCAGGCGTTAAATCTGGCTTCTCTGGTCAGAGGACGTTAAAGCAAAAAGCAGAATGAGCTCAGATAATGGTCTAACCGCTCGTGCGCAGGTTCGGCATTGTGGGTTCTACGTTGCTTATGTGACCACTTGATGTCCGACGCTTACTTTCGGTGTTCGTATGGTTCCAGTACGCGCGGGCTGACATTAGGGCTATTTCTTCACCATCCCTCTAAAACCCATGTGATCACCAAAATAGTGCCTTCTTCCATCCAGTGAGAAGTCTCGAGAGCCGCATTGCCCCTGTTGCCTACAAAGGGCAATTCAGTTTGCTTAAAAAGCACATAGACCCTTTTAAGAATTATGCATTAGGTGTAACTAAAAGTGGTCATATAACTTTAGCTTGATTAACTAAATTACAAGCCCAGAACCATTAAATTTAAAAATTTAAACTTTCAGACCATTTTTACATATGCATTTTATCAAAAAGCATAACCTCTCAACTCTTTTTTCAAAAAGAGTTGGGTGAAATCACAATTAAAGCAGCATTAAATTAAAGTGTGCTGTAAAATAATTTATTTTTGCATGAACAATTCTGCGCTATGCCGCGCTTTTTGTAATTGGACGGAAAATGAGGTCGGTGTTAAGCTTGTCCAGAACTTTTACATTATCCATGAGGAGTGTTGCGACTGCTTCGTTGAAGCCAAATTTAGTTTTGCCTGATAATTCGTTATCGATCGTTGAGAGCGATGGCGGTCTACAGGTAAACAAGCTGTCAATGACATTCCGAAATTTACTTTTCAATTTAATTGGGGGACTTATCAGGCATTCCCAGCTGTTATTGAATTGTTCTCGATCCGTGGAAAACTTTCTTGGGTGCTTTTCACGTTACAGTACGCTTGTTTCCCCAAACCGAATCCATGGAATGGTCTCACGCGCATCGTGGCAATCTTCAACGCTGGCTCCCGCTTCGAAAAGGCCCCCCATATTCATGGCATTACACATCTCATTCGACGCAGTTGTGGTTTGTCTACAACAAACTACACTGCCGTCAACTTAGCCCGTCATATTCAGCAGATGGGTGGGCGTTTACAGTGAGTACCATTCGATCAGTTGTAACTTCATAATGGGGTTCTGCTACCAGTGCTTTTTTTTCAGTTGTCACACTACACGTGAGCATATGATATACTCCATGGACGTCGCTCCGAACCTCGCCTCTCGAGCTGGTTTGATTCTAGCCACAATGGCTACTCGAACGGCTTTCTTCGACTGGGAACTGAGAGATCAGGTCTATAGACTGATGCATAAAGATATCGATATGCTAAATCGCCGTCGCTTTGATGCTTGTGAGTGTTCTTTTCTTTGTTATTTTCTACTTTTAGTAACTATAGAACTTCTCCATGAGGCAGCCTATGGACAACACCCTGATGGGGTTGGTCTTGGCAACTCCCTATTTGCTAACCATTATCGAGTCGGCACACACACAATTGACGATATAGAGGCTTTTTTCGATGCTCACTACACTCCCGTTAATACTGTCTTCATCGTTACCGGCTGCAATCCAAATGATGGCGGCCTGCAAATCTGTGACTCCATGCATGACGCTGCTCTGCTTCGGCCCAATAGGCCTGCTTGCACAACCGTTGCGAAGCACAGCTTCGTTGGAGGAGAAAGACGTCGTGAGATAACTGGCGCGACCATCTCATATGCAGCTCTGGCATGGCCCACTCCCGGTGGACACGTGGGTGAAAGCCTCACTTCCCTAGCCCTTTCTGTTTTTGCAGCTGCTTTAACCTCCCCGAATCACCGCATAGCTTTCGGATCAATGGGAGGCTTTGTGCCTTCTTCATCATCTACTGCCACCTCGACTCCCATTCATTTCCCCTATTCAGATCATGGCCTTTTCGGAACCTTAGTAACTGGACGTGATGGAAAGACAGTTGGTGAACATCTAAGGTTGGCTAGAAGAGTCTATGCTCAACTGGCTGAGACCGGAATGAATGAAGACCAATTCGTGCGTGCAAAGTAGGTTCGATTTCACAATTTTTCTAGGGTCGCTTTTCTAGAGCTCTTTTTAAGGCCGATTTGGCGATGCGAATGGAGAATTTTATCACCATGACGGAAGACTTGGCAGTGCAGTTGTTGTGTTGTAATAAAGGCGGTGGCGGAGATCAGAATGTGTCCGGAATACGATCGTTAGAAGATATTTGCTCTGCAGTTGATCGACTTTCGCTATTGGAAGTTAATAAGGTTAGTGGAATGGCTGAAATCTCAATTTGCACTGATTTAGGTGTTCAAAGAAACTGTAAAATCACAGCGGATGGCATTATCGGCGGTTGGAACGGATATTGCCTATGTGGAACCATTGGAAACGTTGAAAACATTCTGAATCGGCTGTGGGAAATAAATTTATTGACTCGTTGGATGCACTTTTTTAGCCCACCTCTAATCCAACTTTCTTTCCATGTATATGTGGAAATGTCTATCTCAGGAGTCATCTTCGAAGCTAATTTCTGTTGAACTGAACACCTTTTGGATTATGTCTTTCCTCTTTATCAATGTGTTTTGGCAAAATTTCCTTTTAATTTTCCAGGTTTGCATATGTGAAGAGAGATCGGAATGTCTGACTACCCTCAGAGCGATAGGAAAGATTATTACCATTTGTGTATTATAAGCTCCATTATTACCACTTATTTTACGTTCTCTCGGTTCATCTTTGACCATTTATGACTTCTTTTCGAAGGATAATTCGAACAGCCGATTGGAAATCATTTAAGGAGTTTAGCTTCGCGCCAAATACGTCGAGCAAATGATTAAGCTCTGTTCATGCTTCGGATTTGTTGCCTCTGGCGTTCAACTTATCTTCTCCATCGCGGCTTTTGCAACCTTGTGAATTTGAGTTCCAGAAAATATGGTGGGTGGTGGATGAAGTTCTTATCAGAATGTTGTTTCTCAGCTAGTTATGGGGAGGTTTGCTACACCATTGGAAAACACGTGAATGGTTCTGGAGGTTTGGAGTGTGTGATAATGTCTTGGGGGTGGGGAGTATGTACCGCCTGCCCATGGCGGTTTGAGCTGTGCGGCGCTGCGACGGGGGTTCCGCATTTGTTGCCCCCAATGCTTCTTTAAACAACCTCATTTGCGAGCGTACTTGTGTCGGCATCAAGCACTTGATAAATAAACCGAATTCGCACAACTGCGACTTCCAAGGGCGAAAAGCCCATTTAGTCGAAACACAATTCCTTTTCCACATCAACACTAAGCCACAACACTTTGCGCATTCAACAGCTTCCAATGATGATCAATGTCAATCCCTCATCATGCCACAATTTAAACTGTGTTGTTCCTAAGACTTCCAGGGCAGCTAAGTACAGTGGTGGGACGCACAACCCCGTCGTTTCCAATCCATCATCAATCCATTAACTCCTACCACTCGACACTAAGTCAACATGACGCTGGACGCATCGCAGGTACAAAAGTTTGTGGTGAGATGAAGCGCCAAAAGACGAGTTCCCTCAAGTGACGATGAAAACTACCGTCGCTTGCAAACAGGAATGTCGGCAATTTTGAAAAGTCGGTGTACACTGGGTAGCGAAAAGACTTCCCACATTGAGCCAGCACAATTACTGACGCAGTGAATGGAGGGCTTTAATCCACAAATAAACATCGTTATAGCTGGAGTTGATGAATCAGCCGAAGCATATGTTATGAGGTGTAGCAGGCTCTTCCAGCGTAGGTCTATCAGGGCTGTGGGAGAATGTCTTTTCGTCATGCTAGTCGTTGCAGAAGTTGTTATCAAGTTGTACGTTCCGATGGTTATGACAGTGTGTAAAAGCAAATGAGAATCAGTTATTTGAGTGTAGGAGCTTTCCTTCTCGCTGAATGCAGGTATGCAGTCCCACATCAGGCCTCCCTTTTTTTCATAGGAAATCATCATACCTTTCACACAAGCTTTGCAAAGCGGCACCTCAATCTTTAGTAGTTATTGTAGCTGCGAAATGCAAAATTTATAAATCGAAGTAAAAAACGTCAGAACCCAATTCAACGTATAACACTGCAAAAAAAGCTATATGGTTTTTAATTGAAAATTTGGGAAATTCGTATTCATAGGCTCTGTAGCGACCTATAAATAAAAAAGGTCAATTTGAAGACCCATTCCTAATAATGGTACTAAGTTAGAAAAGAATAACAATTTCTACAGCATAACTTTTAATTCACCATTAAAAAGGTATGTTATTCTAACTCTAAGGTGTAGTAATCTATGAAAATAAACTTTTAAATGTTGTTTAAGTTAATGGGATACCCGCAGTTATTATTTCCGTCTTGTCCCGCAGTCGTGTGTATGATGCGATCGTAGTTTCACAATGACCAGTGCAGTTCACGACTACACCTATTCTGTCCAAGTTAAGAGTCGTTTCGACTTGTTTGCGAAGGCCGATTACAACAGCGAAGATCCAGATCATCTTTTGTCGAGGCTTCGCAATCAGAAGCGCGAGAGAAAGTCATCCGCGAAAGAAGGTAAGTGTGTTTTTCGCATTTATCTTCTATCTGTTTTCAGTTTTCGGGAAAGGTGCTCCGGAACCTGTTGAACCTACTCAAAAGGACAGTCAGGCGCCTCGCAATGAGCGTCGAGGCGCCGATCGGAAAGTATCTCGTGATCCTCCTGGAAACGCGGGTGGTCGTTCTGCACCTCGGGGTCGTAATGTTGTTATGCGCAACAGAGTTTCCAAGCCTGGTAGTCAGCGTGTATTTGATCGTCATTCTGGGTCGGACAAAACGTACGTTACGTTCTGAATACGATGACATGTTATCCCTGTCTGAGATGTGAGGATATCATTAAACTGATTAATGGTCTATGCGCCTAGTTTGTTTGGAGCTTAGTATTAGTGCCGTAATTTGTCTTTATTAGCGGCGTCAAGGCAGTCATGAAAAAGGACGGACACGGTACTGGGAATTGGGGTACTATGGATGATGAACTCGAAGCTCAAATGGCTGAAGTTGTTCTTGAGCCCACCATTGAGGAAGAAGCCCCAGCTGAAGAGGTAAAGCCGGCTGAACCTACCTCAGCTGAGCAGGACCAAGAACCAGAAAAGGAGCGCCCCAAAATGATGACACTGAAGGAATTTCATCAGCAGCGAAAAGCTTCAAGGGTAAATGTTCAGTTGGTCACCAAGGGAGTACGCCGTCCAAATGACGGGAAAAATGTGTTTTCTGGCATGTCCGAAGTCCACAAGTCGAAACCTCCGGAACCAAAGATCGAGACAGTGCTGGAAGATGAACCCCAGGTTGAAGAAGACGCCAAACCGGTCTTTTTTGAGTTTGGGCGTGGTAGGCCGTTTCCCCGCGGGCGTGGAGGTCGGCCGTTCGGGTTTGGCGAATTTCGAGGTCGTGGTTCAGGACCTCGTGCGGATCGACAACCACGCGAGGACCAGCAAAACCAAGCGACAGAACAAGTTGAACAACAACCGGAAGGACAGCCAGAGAGTAACGAGACATCTGGACAGCCTAGCTCAAGACCCGTGCAGCGCGTAGGCCGTCGGGGTGATAGAGGCTCTCGTGGTCGAGGACGTGGTTTTGTGCCCCGCGTTAGTTTTAACGCTGAGCGTGGTCGCGGCAGAGGTAGTGGACAAGTTGGGGACCGTCCAAGTTTTCGCGGTGGCGGTCGACCGCCCTTCCGTGGCGGAGATCGAGGCGGTGGCCGTGGAATGCGAGTGGGAATGCGTGGAGGAGTTGGAGCCGTCGGTGCAAATGTAGGCGGTGGTTTCAGGTATGGACGTGGAGGCTTTGATGACTCACAGGAAGGTCGTGGAGGTTCTAGAGGTGGACTACGTACTACGCCAAACGCTCCACCTTCAATGGACAGTGATGCAGATTTTCCCGCTTTGAAATAGGGCTCTTTGTGTCAACACTTCAAATGAGATTGGAGTACGAACAGATGTGTATATGAATTGTAACTTTGTTCTGTTGTCTTCCGGTTGGGTCCTTGTGGTCTATCATCTACGGCGACGATTGGGAGGTTGGCGGTACTTATTTGGCTGCCGGTACGAGGTCTTAATGCGGTAGAGGCGCGGGTCCATTTTAATGGTGAATGTTTTTGATCTGGCGGCGAGGATCGCAATAGAGGTTCATTTCTGGTCAGTTATTGCCTAAATCCGATCAATTTCAAGTGCTTACTAACCCACATTTTTGGAAAGTTTAACTACTTCGGAATACGAAGAAATCGCTCGGAATTTGGATGAATTCGGTGAAGCTACCACAGTGGTCAAACCGAGGGCTGCCAACAGTCCGGCCACGTCCGCCAAAATGCGGTAAAATCGCCAACCTGATTAAGCTACTTTGTCGTGTACATAGGCTTGGCGAAACTTTTGGATCAACTGACAACAGTATAATCAAATCTGAGGAAATTGTTCTCATTGCCATCACTTCACAATGATTACTTGCTTATTCACTTATGTATGGAGCATTAGCTGTCATTAAATGCGTGGTGCAATTACACCGTTCGTCAATAGCTGAACAAGAAACAAACTCATTGAGAAGTAGCAATAAACGACTTTTAAAAGTGACCGCATGGCTGTTCGCGGTGGCGTAACAGAGGAAGGTGGTAGGCTTCAACACAGACCACAGCTGCGAGCAGATGATAAGACTCTGCTGCACTGCCATTGGCCAATTTATTTATCCAATGACGGCGCTGAAGACACGTGTAAATTCTGAAGCCCTTGAAGGTCTCAGATTGTAGTGCATTGAGAAGGTGAAAATGCTGTCGTCACAACCACACACAACACGGTTGAGTTGAGCATGACGAATGTACACAAAAACCTTTGATTCTGCCTGATTTTCGGTGTCAACATGTTAATGCTATATGTTGCGTCAACAGAGGCGACAAGTGCCTGAGAAATTCTTGCTTAAGGATTAAATGCACCAAAAAATGACGTGAAGCGAGCGGTGCACTGCCTTTGACCAACAAAATATATACAAATTCCCTCATTAACAAGGGCTCTGTCCTCTCTGCCGAATTGCATCAAGAATTGCAATAGTTATTCCGAGTTAGAGATAGTCTTCGGGACTATGAAACCGCTTTATCCGAGCAAAACGCTCTGTCGGCATGTTGTCACAGCCAAAGCGCTTAATGCGAAAACAAGCAACTTCTAGTCGTGCAGCAAGAGCTGTCTGAAGACCGTTATGTGAATAACTACGAAGTAACAAGTGACATCTGGGTGACCAAATTGTGAGCAATTTTTGTAAATGATGCAGAACTCTCGACTGGTTCCCTGTGGTTTGCCTTCAAATAGGCTGAGGCACGAAGTCTCTTTCTTACTAACTGGCTAACGATCACATCCAAAGTCATACTTCGATGCTCCTTGGTGCAAGTAGAAAATCCGAAGCCTAAATTTCATGTTTGTATGAAAGTCACTTTTAAGTTTCATTAAATGATGTGCTGTAGGAGTCCGCACGTCATAACGATTAGGCTTTTCAGAGACTGGAATACGGTGTGCCATTCAAATACCTGGCAGAAAGAAAGAAAAGAAAAAAGAAATGTTTAGATGGAGGCCGGATCTTGGATTTTGGTCAGCTTCCTCAATTGGGGTCTTAAAGACAACGTTTTCCATATGAGTAGTACGATTGACGTATATGAGTCTTCCGCTACAATATTTACGAAAAGAATAACGTCTTGGTTCGTCCCGAAGATGTCAATAATACGGTAATGTTTTGACACTGTTTCCTCTATTACGCATCTGTTTTAGACCGGTGCTCCTACGTCTACACCTGGACACAATTGATGGTCAGCAGAAGTATACGACATGATTCCTGTATCCAAGTCTAAACATAATTGCAAGTCCGGCAAATTCAGCTGGGAAAAGGAAGTAAAATCTCTCAGTCCAATAGGAGCTGATGACTGGACGGAAAAGCGTACCAAAAAGAGCGCCGAGAATGTAGCTCATTGTACTATCTCTACGATTAGGGACGACTTTGGCATTCATTTTGCCTTTGTGTGTGTGAACTGGCCTTAGAATGAAGTCCAAGTACATACCCTTTCCTTTACCCTTTGGATGCATGCATTCAGTCTCAGCGTGCAACATCCGTAATTGATAATCGCATATGTACTTAAAGAGCATGCAGAATTCGTTGCATTGCATCAGCGGTTACATTAGCTCCTTCCATTCCTCACTGCAAACAATATGTCCGCTTAAACAAAATCAAACTCATTTGCATTAAAATTCGAACTCAGCTTTGCTGAATTAGGCACTTGTGTAACACGACAATTTAAACCGGAATTCGCTAGTTGTATAAACTACAGCAAAACACAACGTAATTCTGAGGAGAGAAAGAAAGATCTCTTACTTCCCAGTTTGTGCTGCAGTTGTCTAGTAGGTCCTCTGAGAACAGGGTAGCCAATTAGAGCTGAAGGTTAATGAAAACGCTGGCTTGTGATTTTGTGGTGTGTCTCTCGTGAAGTTCGACGCCCGTTTTAAGGTGGCATGCTCCTTCTATTATTTGCAGACTTTGTTTCTTTTGCCTGTTTCTTTGCAGAATATGGACACATTTAGAGGTTTTTGTAGACTCATAGCACTGTTGGATTAGAACTTGTTGTTTCATACTGCATTGTGACTATCTAAAATCGCACCTAGTGCTTGCATTTACTTATTTTATTCTGCGATCAAACGATTTTAGGGTTACTGTTTGTTATTGACGGGTTATGTTGGGGCGAGGACAAACTCTTCTTGTAGCCAGTGCACACACGCTAGCGCTCTGTGCCGTCGTGCATTTTTTCGTTAATCGAGTTCAACCAACTGCTTACATGGACGAGATATTTCATGAGGAGCAAACTGTCACATATCTTCGAGGCGAATGGCGAAAGTGGAACTCTAAGATCACTACTCCTCCCGGTCTGTATGTTCTAACTACATTCCTCTGGAATCTCCTTCCGCTACAAGCCTGTGTCGCGAACTTTAGATTCCTAAACTGTTTTATCAGCGGCGCTAATTTCTTCGTTCTGGTGGAATTGACACAGAGCATTCTTATCGCCCTTGACATCGCTACGCTTCCCGTTCTTTTCTTCACAGGCATTCTCTTCTATACCGATCAGCTTTCGCTGCTTGCTATTCTTCTCACCCTCTTTGCGCAGCGATCGTCTAACACAGTTTTGGCGTTCCTATTTGGTTGCTCGGCTTGTTGTATTCGTCAAACTAACGTAGTCTGGCTCGGATTCATGATTGGCCAAGAAGCTGTCAGGCGAATAGCTTCCATCCCTCTCTGTGCTCCAAAAGCTTCTATGCAGTGGTACTTTTACCTACTTAAACACCCTGTCGATATTTTCACCGCATGTTTCAAGGCAGCTCTCTTGGACGCTCCCCACCACACTGCAACAATTGTTCTCTTTGCTATTTTCGTAATTGTATTCAATCAGGGAGATATTGTTCTTGGTGACCGTGATGCTCACAAACCTGCATTTCATGTTCCTCAGATCTTTTACTTTTTCGTCTTTTGTGCTTTGCAAACGCCAATCTCTTTCATGCGTTACCTGTACGCCAATTTATCTGTGCCGAACCGCGTGTCCCTGGTCCGCATCACATTACTCCTTTCCTTAACGATTATGCTGATTGGTTTTTTCACTGTAGAGCACCCTTACCTCCTGGCCGACAATCGCCACTACACTTTCTATTTGTGGTCGCGATTATTTCGTCGATACAAAAACCTTCGTTACGCTGTGGCACCGATCTATCTTTTATGTGGGAACTATGTATGCCGCGGCTTGCGTGGTGGCAATCTGTCGGATTTTCTGACGACTGTAGGCTATCTTGTGACCATCGCATTGGTACTAATGCCAGCAGGATTAATAGAGCCAAGGTATTTCATTGTACCGTACGTAGTTTGGCGGCTGACGAGACCACAGATGTGCGACGAAATTAGTTCCATTGTCGCGGAGGTGGCTATGAACGCCGTGGTCAATGCTGTTACTGTCCACATTTTTGTGTCCTATCCCTTCAGATGGTTGTCAGAGCCCTTTACTTGGCAGCGATTCATGTGGTAAAGACTGCGCGATTGTGCTTTGCATTCACTTCCAGAACACGTTTGTGCAATCAAATTTATGGTTTATCAGTAGATTTCTCCCCAACCGGTTGCACCGGTATGTTTGGTTACTTTTCTTACGTGTTTTTGCAAATGTTACACTTAAAGTACCTGATTTCAAAGCTTATGCTTTAGACAGGGTGTTTGTGTTATTGTGAGGAGGTTAACAATTTAAAGTCTTTTTGCTGTTTGATGTGTTCTCGTTGACTGAGTGCAGGTGTGCGTTGTCGTGTTATAATTGTCACTCATGTGTGCGATGCATGAGTTTGGTGTCTTTCTGGTCATCCTGACGGCGGACATTGTGCTTCGATGCTGGCATAGTGGAGTGCTTGGATAGATGGTCGTGAGGACGAGAAGAACGGGTCGTAGCTGCAGTTGTCGAGTGGCGTTGGGATGAGCACGGTGGGTGAATGACAATGCTCATGATGTGATGCAGTGGAGTGGTAGGATGGGGAGTAGCACAGAATTGGGGATGAAATGGTTGTACCCACCTGTAAGAGTCCTCGGGTGGTAGGGCCCCCTTGGAAAGACGTCCTACGCCAAATAGTAGCACTGGAATTGGCATCGTTTGCCTCTAACAGTGAGAGGTGTTTACCTTTCGGATGGTCAAGATTCCGTCGAAATAAAGAATAGAAAGTGGAAGAAGAAGGAAGGCCACCATTAGCGGTACTATGTGCAAGGCTTATGATGGTGATTTAACTAGGACGGATTGTGTAGCATATGCAGTCTGAAGTGTTTGAAGAGAATGAAGTTTCCTACGAGGGTGAAGGAGGTGCGCATCTGTGCGAGTTCTTAGCCCGACTGCCTCGCGACGACTGTTAAATGGATTGTAGAGCGTTTGAATAGATGAGTAGTGCATTTCTTCCTTCCTGTTGATGTCGTTGTTGCTACACATAAACCGCCACCCTCCTTTTCCTTCCTTTCTGTTTTTGTGCAAATGTGAAGCAGATTCACCAAACCTCGTGGTACGCAAGACGCCTTGGTGTGGATTTGCGGGCCACC